TCGGGGCCACTCAGGGTCCCTTTTTCAGGCATGACAATGTGTTATAATACATTACAAGTTTAAATATAAGTGTACCCCCTTATAAGTGCACCCCCTTGACGTCATACTGACATCACATTCACGCCATGTAAAATTTAAATACAGAATGAACATACAGAATAAACCACTTTCAAAGAGCCAGCAAACAAATCACAGACTCTGTATATGAATGGATGCTCCTTGGCCAGCTTACCATCACTTGAGAATGATCAATGCTCCCCCCCCCCCCTTGGAGAATGGCAGACCTGCAGACTGCATACAAGTGATCTTGGCGACACCGCCAAGATCACTTGTACCAAACAAGCAGTGGCTTTCCCGCTGTACATTTAGCCCTGCTTGCCCAAAGCAGGGCTAAATGTAGGAAACAACTACTCACCCGGCGCCTGGAACTTCATGTCCCAGGCATTGGGAGATAGGAATTCCACACCCCTGCCCCAAGGCCGGGCCTTGGTTTGCCTTGTGGGAAATCTGGCCCTAGTTGAATTCTCTCCAAGTAAGACATGGGCACCCAGACTTGCTGTATAGATGTGCACACCCATGTGAATGAGGCCTCAAACTGCTGTGTGACTGACCACATTGTACAAAGATGAGGGCTTTAGCTATGTTTTTTTAGGAGTAAAATTTCCTATAGCTTTTAAATCTGTTGTGGATGCTACTTCTAATGATTAATTCAGGCCTAATACCACTGGATAAAAAATCAGGTCACAGCCAAACACACCTAAAAAAGCTTTTTAAGCTGGTTTGAATCATATTGGGGTGCTACTGCTGTATTTAACCCAAGCTAATTGTAAAAGTTAAAAAATCAATTATACATTTAAAAAAATATGTGATGCCAGAATATTGTGTTACTGACGCTATCCATGAAAACGGTACTGTTACGTAACACCACACACAGCTCAAAAGCCATCTCTGAAACATGCAATTTAAAGGATTGGAATGTTTTCCTTGCTGTCCTTGAAGTCACATTAAAAGAACCCTCTCTCCAATGTACGGCACTTACAAATAAATGTTTTGGTAAATGTTCAGTGCTCCTGTCCTTAAATCCTTTTTGACAATAGCTTGCTATTAGCCTTAAAAATGGGCATAATTTAGTATCTAAATTTGCTCATAGACTTCATTGGGTTTTGCAGATTTGAAACAGGATTTGACAAGCCCCTGCAAATCATACCCGGGCAGATTCACTCATCCCTAGTCTCCTCTACAGTGTTGCAGTTAGCAGGGAGTGTGTGTTTTGCTTAATGCAAGACTGTAGTGGTGACTAGGTGGGTGGGTCATGTCAGACCACTGTACAGATATAATTTCTCTCACACAGAGGGAGTGTACTGCTGGCCATGGATTTTGTTTTGCTTGGGCAGTAAACAGAAAGACAATTAGCACTTTCCTTTTTGATCCAAACTGACTTAATTTCTATAGTTTATGGGGATACAAAAATTGGGTTTTACACTTGGTAAAGGTTTATTGTACTTTTAAAACCTAGAATTTTTATTTTAAGTATATAATACAAATAATAACAACATCAACGATTTTTGAGACCATCAGTGATCCTGTAAAGTAACAAAATCACTGTTGGACTATGTGATAATTGCATTTTCAGCTGCTTCTGGCAGGTGATAAACTAAAGCCACTTTAACACTCAGAAATTACTTTTTCACCTGTGAATCGGGTTTCAAAATCTCAAGGGAACAATGTCATGTCTTAATAATGCATTAAAATTTTCCCACTAGTTTTCAAAATGCCTAAAGCTGTTTTTACTCTTTGATGAATCAGCATTAACACTTTAAATGTCACTTTTAGCAACTACTTTATCTTAAGCAATTTTACTTCGCAAAAAGAGCATTTTTTTCTCAAACTCGGGCCAAAGAATCAATTGTTAAAACAACCCAATAAAGAAAAACAAACCTAAATATTTATAAGACAACCCTCTTCTTCAAAATAGAAAAAGCCCTTGACAGGTCACAAAATTTTTTAACTAAGCACTTGACAGCTCAAAAGTTTATAACAAGTGCTTTGGTGCTTCTCATCCTACCATTGAACCCTTTGCTGCTAACCACTTCTCTTACACAAGTGGAACTGAAGCTATGCATTGTTCAGAAACTGCCCTCATCCTGTATAGCACCTGTCCCACAGTCCATCTGAAAGGCTGATTTCTTCCTGCCTCACCTTTTAGCAAAGGGGGTAGTTCCTTCTATTGATGGCCAAATATCTGTGCATCTGCTCAGTATTCATGGGAATTAGGTCCTTCATAGTTAAATATTGCTCCTAGAGGAGCTGATCCTGAACCTGTACAAAGTAAAACAGTAGGCTTTAATCTGTCTGTGAAGGGGTTGAGCTATGAACAGTATCAGAAGCACGTCCTCCTCTTGAGCATTAAACAAGTTTTTATCAGGGAAAACATGATGTAATAGAAATTAAAGTTTTGCCATCTGGCTTGCTATGGGTTTATCCAGCCATTTCTTCTCTGGTTACCGCTAAACTAGCAGCTGTGCATTGCCTCAGCAACTTTAAAACACTAGCAGTCAAAAAGGTGGATTTAGTTAACTAGAAAATCAATAAACATTTGATGCAGGCAAACGGCCTAACAACTATGTAAAATTAACCTGGGCAGGACCTTTGTCCCCTAATGAGCTACTGAGGAAAATTATTTTATGGTGAGTACAAAAATCACTTTTTGTTGTTGTTACTCAAGTGTTAGTTGGGGAAGCAGTAGACCACTGGAATTCCCAAAAGCAGTCCCTGGAAAGAAGAATGAAACCCATACCATAAGAGAATGAGAATTTGTCAAGTGAATACAGTGTGCAGTGGTTGACCAGAGAACCCCTATGTAGGCCTTTAGGTATGATGAACAGCAAATCTGACCTAGGTAAAGCAGCAGTGTGTAGTTCAGGTAGAGCATGATTGTTTTCATTGCATCCAGAGAGTAACAAGAGATCTCCTTCAGATAGGAAGGAGATGGAAAAAAGAGGACAGAATGAAGTCGACATTAATGTGAACGGAAGACACCACCATGAGAAGAAAGGATAAACAAAGTTGAAAATCTACCTTGTCCTTGTTAACCATCAGGAAGGGTGACTTACTTAAGAAGGCTGCCACTTTTGACACTGTCCACCCTGTGTTGAATGCAACCAAAAAGGCTACCTTCTAGGACATAATCTTAGAAGGTACTTTACAATGTGGTTCAAAGGTAGTGATGGGCCGAACAAGTTCAGTTCAAATTCAAACTTTAGAACATCCAAAAAGTTCGAGTTCGGACTCAAACTCAATACAAGTCTATAGGGGTTGAACTTTCAAAATTAATTGACCCCTTTAAGAGGGCTTATATGCAATTTATTGGCCATAAAAGGTGTATGGGGATCCGGGTTCTGCCCTGGGGGACAGGAATCAATGGAAAAAAAACCTTTAAAAAATAAAAATTTTAAAGGAGCAGTGGTTTTAACATCACTTAAAGAGTAACAATAAAAATGAAAAATTCCTTTAAAAATCATGCCTGGGGGTTCTGCTTAACCTGCCTGTAAAGTGGCAAATCTGTATGATGTATAGAACTGCTGCAGCAAAACTGACATTTCTAAAGAGAAATAAATTACTGTTTTTTTTTTAAAGCGTGCAGTTCCCCCTCCCAAACAATATCAGACCCTTTAGGTCTGGTAGGAATGTTAGGAGGGACCAATATTTTTTTGAAAAAGCATGGGGTTCCCCCCCAAAAGTCATACCAGACCCTTTAGGTCTGCTAGGAACATTTAGGAGGGACCCCATGTAAAAAAAACAAAAAAAAGTGTGTGGTGTTTTCCTTTAAAGTCCTACCTGACCCTAAAGTCTGGTAGGAATTTTAAGGAGGAACCCCATCCCCCAAAATGGGGGGGGGGGGACGGGGGGTGTGGGTTGGGGGGGG